TTGTCATGAAAGTTATTACTTACTGATTAAATTAACCATTAAGAACGATCAGGCCCTCGCTTTTTCATCTAACAGCATTTTAATGAAAGTTTAGTAATAAGAACTCGACCGCGCTAGCAACATAACCTCATATATAAATATGTACTTACTTGTTTGCACATTTTAAAAAAATATCTGTGACGTTACGGTCTGCGCGCCTTTTGGCGCTGCACCCCCCCGCAATGTGGGGTCTGCGGGGGTGCTATTTACGCCACTGAGTTTGACAGGCCTCCAGGACGTGTCACGATGCTGCTGATGCAGGTGTTTAGGAAGACGAGCTGCTGCAAGGTCTTCATCGTAGGCTTCTTGTTTACGGCCTGGATCTAGTCGGAAATGGCTCGTTTGATGGGGTTGCGCACCACTACCACATGAGTTATGTGGAGGGGATTCATCCGCTGCACCCAGCACCAATGAATGGATTAATTTGTGCATTTATTTCGTCTAAATTGTCCTACAATAATCATCACACTGGATAAAATAACTTAATTTGAGTTGTTCCGTGATTTCTGAGTAAGAATCGAACAATTTTAAATTCACTTTGACATTTCGATTAACCATGGCTAATCCAAAGACGCGATCGTTGAACTGAGATGAGACGTTTAGCGACAAATTGGGTCGAACGCAGATTTCAAAATACGATTTTTAGAGACCACCCGCTCCCGACGGTGGTCTCTATTTAAACAGCTACGCGTTCCTTCTAGAACGTCCTGGAGTTATAGTGTTCCAAGTGTTGGCTTTGTTTTTACGACTGCATCCTATTGTGAAGGAGTTAAGTGTTCCACAAGCCTTTTTACAGTGAATGAGCGCGATGCAACTATTTAAAAAAAAAAATACTGGTCGATAGGCCTCATTTACTTCCACACATACAATAGCTTTAAAATTATCAAGGAGATATTATAAAATAAAAACCAATTTCCCATGTTAATTCCCTTAAGTGTTCCACAATACGCCTCTGCCGCAAGTAATCCAGCGGTCATAAACTATCAAGAGACCAACTGTCTGCACTACACAGGGCCGTACGCGCCCGTAAACCCTATGATGATTGATGGCACGGCTATTTACAGTTTCAATAGAGTTCCTAATACTTACGGTAATTGAGATTGCAGTGGTCAAGTGCGAAGTCAGACTTGGACAACTATACTTCGAGATCGTTGCTCCGATGTCGTCCGGACCATGTCACCGAAACTTCTGCTTCTAGGGTTTTCTTTATTCGAGCGTCACACTCACCGATGATGACTCATTGGCGTACTTACTAGAAAACCCATGGGCGTCGTACCGGGGCGGTGTGTGGGTTTACTTCGTTAACACTGCCCCCTCCTTAGTTCTGATCGTACCAATCAGAAACGTCAACGACAACAAATTTTTTATTACGTGTAGATGGCAACGATTACGCCAAAATTGTGACAAATTTATTTTAACAGTCAAATTATTTTCAACTTTTGGTAACAGTGCTTTCAAATTCCGAAAAAACCGATATGCTTTTAACGTTGGGAAAGTGTGATGGAAATTTCGATGCTGCCGTTCGTCTACATACCAGACGATTCAATTCCTTCTAACCAAGTATTCGGAAGACTTGAAAAAAAATTAAGAGAAGTTGATCAATTTAAAAAAACTAAAGTTAGACGTCTTACAGTAACAACATAAGAAAATAAAGCTGTCCTGATTGAAATTATAGATGATAATCCTCACGTGAGTCAACGGCAGATCAAAGACAAATGCAGATTAGTCAGAGTTCGGTTTTTAATATCCTGAGGGCAAACCGATTTCACCCATGCCATTTCAGCCCTTTCAATTCAGAATGAAGATCATTTGCGCAGAAAGGATCATGGTGTCATAGAGATATTCATACATATAACACCCGATATTCTAATTAGACTACGTAGAAATTTTGAACGCAGTTATCGCTGTGGGAAGAAGGATAAGACGGACAGTTTGAGTACTTATAGGACACCTATTTATTTTATTTTATTTATATTCGTTTAAGGATCGAATAAATTACGTTCTATGTTCTTTAAATTTTGCCATTGTTGTTTTACGTCTTTGTTGTAATTATGACATAGTGTGATTTTTATGTTGTTGTATTTATTATGATTGTTAATTTAAAAAGATAAATAGATTGGTCAAAATTGCTTATTGTATGTACAGTGTTTAACTGGTATATTATTTTTATAGATGCCTTCACAAGTTTCTTCTGTTAAATTTGAGTTTTTTTCTTTGAATTGGGACAACTGGTTTTATTTCCAGGGCCATATTTTCACCACACTGGCATTTTAAACAAAGTTTCTTTAAATTTGTTTAGAAAAATAAATATTACGTATTGCCAAAATAAACACCTTCAAAGTTTTTTTTTTACATTAAAATATTGCATTTGACATCATTTTAAAGAAAAATGTAATATTTGGCAGAATATTATTATTATCTAATTACCAATTGTGTCCCAGTTTTTTTTGTCCATCCGTGATACATCAACATTCCAAATATAATTTCATAGAGAACGGTCGCCTAGATCAAAATTTTATGAAAACTTTTTGGAACTACTGTGTAATTTAAGATATCGACTATTGTCTTTGCCACTATTGAAACACCACGTATTGATTTTGCATAAAATTTAGCAATTGATAACAGCTTTCGGTTGATAGGCTTTTAGTTAGAAAATTGTCTGAATATGAACGTTGCCAAATTTACGATTAACAAGTGGTGTTTCAATAGAAATGGCAAAGACTATATAATTATTGTTCATTATTAATTTCAGATACCTAATTTAAATTGTACAATGTATACCATACATTACGCAAATAAATATATAAATAAAAAAAGAGATATTTTTTCCATTTTTTTTTTTCGTATAAACTCTTGAGATAAAGTACGTTTTTTTATTAAAGGTCCACCAACGCCGCACTCTTCTAAAAATATAAGTGGCAACATAGCTAGGGTTTTTTTAGGGCGAAGAAAAAAAATAAGGTTAGAATTATAATTTGACAACTGAAACTGCAATCTCAAAAACTCATTAAGTTTGAACCTGAACGGTTCGGTTCTTCCGATATTGGAATTGTGTAATTAACTAAAAATATGGTTGAATAGATTAATTTACGTTTGTGCGAGTAACACAGAACACGTCAAAGTTTTTTTGTCCACTCTAAAACATTCTGAGTGGAAAGTGGAATTCATACACCCATGCATCTGCTTCTGCTTGTACTGCTGGTTGTTTTCACTGCTCTGTTATTTGACATTAACACTGAATTGTAGCATGTGATTTGTGGCAAAACAAGGGTATTATTATTATTTTTTGTAATGATTTTACATTTTTCACTTATAAAAGCAAGAAAAAGTGAATAAGCGTGCATTAACAAAAACAAACTAACAATAACATATATAACAAGTGAAAGAGGTGAGGTTTAACAAAAAGAGGAAGTGCTGGGAACATTTTCAGGTTCCATGTTTTCAACGTCTTGATCGTCGTCCTCATCTCTGAGATTGAGAAATCACTGTCTGAATCGTCTTCTGTTAACTTTACAGTAATCGGTGGTATATCTTGTACGGAAAAATTGCCCATTGCCTTTTTCCAGTCTTCCTCAAGGAGTTTTTCACAGTGCGTAATACTGTTTTGCCACATTTCAGGAGTGAAATTATAAATAGCTTCAATCCACAAATTTGCTGTTCTTTGGGGATCAGTAGTGTCCATATTTATATGTTTGTTATAATGTACTGCTTGCAGTAACCCCATGCGAACTCTATTGGGTTATATTGGCAGTGATACGGCGGCAATCTTAAAACATCCATACCATTGTTGTGGCAAAATGTGTCTATTTCATTTTTGATTGAACTATTTGGTAAAGTAGGTTTTATCAAATCCCATAATTGCTTTTTGGTTAAGGTAGGTTGGAAGCTAATATTTATTCTGTTTTTCTAAATGGGTTTGCATTGCAGCTTTATTTGATGATTGGGTTGGAGGTTTTTCAAGACGCACAGAATGGTAGGGAGCGTTATCTAATATCACAATAAAGTGTTTTAAAATCATCAAATTTCAGTACAGGAAATATCTAACTTTGCACCCACTCTTTAAAAATGTCACCAGTCATTGTTTTGTGGTAATCTCTATCATTAGTTTGTGAATGAAAAAGTAAACCACAACCATCAAGAAAACCTGATGAACAACCAGCATGTAGCACTGTGAATCGTTGGCCCTCTGACTTTCTTAATTTGTAACTTGTAGTGGGAAGATTATCATTAACCCATGTCTTCGTGGGAGAACCATTTTTGTATATCCATGTTACATCAAAGTAAACAAATTTAATATTATTCAGATAATCTTCGTTATACTTTTAATACGTTTTTAAGAATTTAATTCTCTAGGCTACTATATGGGGTCTTTCGATTAAAATTTTCCTGTAGTTTTCCATATTGCACTTATAGCCCATGGCTTTTAAAATTTTGTATAGTGTTGACTTCTTTCCCCGTAATAAAATCATGCAAAATTCTACGTACAGTAGCTCTGCATACCTACAAAAACTAACTTTTGAGATTTTGAAAATAAATTACCAACCAAACGTTCACTGAAAAAACATTAGAAAGCTTTTCTTCAATATCGAGTTTACTGGGGGAAGGGTCTAGGTTTTGAAACTCTTGGGAGCATTTTATTAGAGCCATTTTTAATGTCGCATCCAGCAAATTTCTCCTTTTACGATCCATTATTGCAATATTTTTAAATTTTGATTAGATCAACGAAGCGCTTGCGCTACAAACAGGCGTCAGCAGTCCGTACGTCGAGCTAACTGAAATGACGTCTTTTGACACTCTTGACAGAAACAGTTAGCATTGCTGACACTTATAGCATAGGAAAGTTTCTGTCGTTAGGAAATTTTGATTTTTATAACCAAAATCAACAGGTGGTGGACCTTTAATTTTAAAAATGCACTTTACCTTATGACCTTAGAAATTCGCATTGTTTTTTTTTTTTTCAGAAAACGTCAATAACCAAAAAACCTTCAATAACTGCTGATAAAGATGTTCCTCATAATATGGGTAAAAAAGATATTATAAGAGCCAGCGACTTTAATTTTCTGATGGTACTAGGCAAAGGATCATTTGGAAAAGTAAGTCGCCATACACTTATTTGCAAATATCTTAACATTATTGTTTGCAAGGTTATGTTGGCCGAAAGAAAAGGAACTGATGAACTCTATGCAATAAAAATTTTAAAAAAAGATATTATTATTCAAGATGATGACGTCGAATGCACTATGGTTGAAAAACGTGTTTTAGCCCTTTCCAACAAACCGCCGTTTTTAGTTCAACTTCACTCTTGTTTTCAAACAATGGTATCCACTTTTGTTTAGCTTATCTCTAATTTTTGCGCTAACAATTAACAATCAATATTATTCTAGGATCGCCTTTATTTCGTTATGGAATATGTAAATGGAGGAGATTTAATGTTTCAAATTCAACAATGCGGAAAATTCAAAGAACCTGTTGCAGTGTAATTAATTTCAGTGTTGTAGCCACTTAAAACTAGTTAAATCATTTTTAGCTTCTATTCTGCAGAAATTGCTATAGGTTTATTCTTTTTACATAGTAGAGGAATCGTATACCGTGACTTGAAACTTGATAATGTCTTACTAGATCAAGACGGTCATATAAAAATTGCAGACTTTGGGATGTGTAAAGAAGGAATTACAGGCGATAAAACTACTAAGACCTTTTGCGGCACACCGGATTACATAGCACCTGAGGTAAGATTATTTTTTAATTTATGATCACTAACATTTAGGTATATTAATAATAATAATATTATACATACACGTGTTGTTGTTCTGTACAGATTATTCTGTATCAACCCTATGGCAAATCTGTTGATTGGTGGGCTTACGGAGTTTTGCTGTACGAAATGTTGGTTGGACAACCACCTTTTGATGGTGAAGATGAAGAGGAATTATTTGCAGCCATTACAGACCACAATGTTAGTTATCCCAAAGGGTTGTCCAAAGAATCTAAAGATGTGTGTAAAGGGGTAAGTAAGTACAAATAATTAACTTGTAAATAAACACTTTGGGCAGACAAAAGTTGTATACCAACATACGCACATAGTTAGATTTCATTTGACCGAGAGCTGCAGTGTTTAATTGGTGTAGGTAGTTGGCTATTAGTACGACATATTTTACATATATGTGAAAAACTACAAATAGGCAAATTTTAATTGTAATTTTTTTTCCTACAATCGCTATATAAAGTGGATATTTTGATTGTGATTTTAATTTCGAAATGGCACGTTTTTAGACACAAGTGCGTAAAGTGACATACGATTGCGTAAAAGTATGTTAGGTCTCACTTTTACGCACTGTTATTATAAGCATTTTGTAAGTAAACAATTATTTAAATGATTTAAATTAATGGTATTTTTGTTGACGAAGATGAGGAGAATGCCTTGTGAATATCTACTGCAATTGGCGGTAATGGATCTGAGGAATTCAGGGGTTCGTTTTCAGAGATTTTTGCCTTTTTGGAAACAACTTCTTTGTCACCTAGAATTTTCCTTGCAATAAGACTTTTGTTTTCCAAAGAATTCTCAACGTATCCTTCGGCACTGAAGAAGAACGCCAACCACCCCCATGTCTCAAGTCGATACATCTTCAACCTCTTTTGTGCTCAAAAATGTAAGTTCCTCTCTTCTGCAGGCGCCGGATATGCCAACAATTAATGCAACCTTAAATGTTAATAAAATAAATAATTAATTTGTTAAAATTGAAAATAATCGTTTTACCTCCATCAATAAATAGCTTGTATCATCTGCTTCTTTAATAAATTTTTCTATTTCTTCTTTGGAAAATATTCGCGACTTTTTAAGTCGGTAACTCTCAGCTTTTCTATTCAAGAATGCGATGAACGTTTGTGTATTTACTAATGTCGATATTTTTTTTCACGTAAATTGTAGTTCGAAGCATTGAACTTACTCCATAAAGTTGACGCTTTTAGAGTTAAGAATATTTCGGAAAAATATACCAGAATCACATTTTCTGAAATGCAGTGCACTTTTTTCTGATCACACCATTTGTTAAACTTATTGTAGGTTGTTTCGTATCCTTTTTTCGACTTTTCAGGAATTATTGTTGTTAGTGCGGCTTCATGTGCTTGCTTGTTCGACGTCGGACGGGATTTCGGAATCACTCATGCTGGTGTTTTTATAATTATAGACTCAATGTTATAGTGTTTCCTTACTTTTTTGATCGAATAATACATTAAACTGCATTAACACTAAAATAGGCACAATTTTTTTTGTTGAGAAACAATTTCTTACTAGACAACCAACATGTTTCAGTTGTTACTAGTGGCTTACTTGAAGTTGTATCAATAAAAATCTAAATATTGTCAAGTCAAGTATCAATTTTAAATTAATTGTGAGAAATGTCACTTGAAATGTTTATTTTTAAATTTTGTTGCGATTGTAGAAAAAATCTTGTTTGCTACACGTGCGAAATGGGTCTTACGCACATGACGTGTTGTCCAAACTCGCCCTACGGGCTCGTTAGACAAACTTCACGTCTAGTGCATAAAACACTACCATTTCGCAACTTGTAGCAAAAATAGCTATTATGGTTAAGTGTACGATAATTTTTTCCGCAGTATTAATTACGTATTTCTCTTAAATTTTTTCTTCTCTAGCGTTAACTAAGGGTGTTGTAATAGGTTAGCGTTAACTAAGGGTATTGTAATAGGTTGATTGTGACTAATATCTGACTTATTATTTTCTTAGCGTCTTAAAGCTTGAAAAGTACAAACACTTTGATTGTTCGTTTCCACCTATGTATTGTCTGCTCTCTATCGGCGATTTTGTTAAGATAGATTTTCACGAATGTCACAAATCAGTAATCTTGAAATGTATCCATCTCTCGCAAGAATTTGCGGAATTTTAAAAAATTATTACTTCCGGATCACAAGCTAAGGACCCCTAGAGTACGAAAAAATAATACTCCTATTCCGTTTCTGTCTGTCTCTCTGTCAGTTTGGCCGTCGTCTGTGTCGATTTTTATTAGACTTCGAAACCACTGGATCCATTGTTATCAAATTTTCTATGTATATTAGGAATGACATGCAGATGGTTAAACCCCCCGTATTCGTTGATTCGCTATTAAAGCACGGCCAATTCTCTTAATAAATGTTCTAGCTTGCCTTGACCGTTCATCAGGTGCCAATATCCATGTACTGCATACTGCATGTATGTACGGTCGTGGACAGTGAATTTCGTCCATCCAATTTATATCACAGAAAAGAACTCTAAATTAGCCCTTAGATCTTTCTAACCTTTTTTTATCATTTTGACATAAAGGGGCAAACTAATTTACTTTTCTCTTTCTGAGAAGTTGAAAAAGTAAAGTAGAACAGGTACTATACGGGCTAAATTTAGTAGCTAAATTTTCTATGAAAACTCTTCAAATTTTCGCTTTAAATAACTCCTAACAAACATGCATTCCAACGAAGCTAATTATTATCTCCGTACTTAAGCCTACTATCATACCTGCTTCTCAGGTTAGAAATCAATCCAAGACCAAACAGAAAATAATTTCAAATTATAAAAGAAACTCAAGAAACTTTATTACATGCAGCACAGGCAGGTGTTTAGAATACAACAGTCAAAATATTCTATTTTTTTCACTAGCAGCCATGAAGCATGCAAATGTCGACTCATTTATTAGAGGTAGCAAATTCAACTTTTGCGACCACGGGTTTAAAAAGAAGATTGAGGTTATGTACGCAATACTTGATGCGATTATTTCTTAAAAAATGAATAAATGTGTGCTACTAACATTATTTGAGTATACGCATGGTAGTTGGCAGATGGTAGAAGATAAAATGATTAATTCAGCGACAAGTGTAAACGGTTTTCTTTGTGTTGAATTTAGATTAAGTTTGATTAGAAATCAAAACAAAATCATGTTGCATCAAAAAATTGAACGTTTATTTTTTCAATTTATTGTCTTATGGTTTCTACTAGTGAAAAAAATAGTATATTAACCACGGTTGCAAAGCCACTTCTAGACCTCGCGCTTCAGAGCCCTCGACGCTGCGCGTCTCGGGTTCTAATTTGCGCTCGGCCTAGAATGCATGGCTTTGCAACCTTGGCTAATAATATATTATTTCTGGCACGTGTAACATGACCCTACAGAAATCCATGCCCACGTGTTGACAGATATTTCGCTTTGTTGACATGTTTGAAGATTATATCGTATGTTTCAAGGCCTGTATACTTTTAACTTGCCATTTTGAAAACTCCAAAACCCTCTAGCCTACATGAGATGTTGTATACTAGACGCAAACATTTAGTGCGTTTATGGCTTCACACCAATTTAACTCCCATTACATATAATACAACGACATCAACAATGATTGAAATATTTAGTTGACAAAACTGAATTAAAATAATTTTGGTTTTTCAATTGGCGGGAAGAACTGTCCGCCAAATATGATGTTTCAAAGTTGACTTTGTCGTATAGGTGTTACTTTTACCCCCATTGAATCGTTTGATCGGCATTTTAGCATTTTAATTTGCGACTAGTAGTCCGGTCAAAATAGACAAAAATAGTAAAATGAAATAACAAAAACTCCGACAGAGCTGAATTTTGGTAGAGACCTTGAGTACACCAGTAGAAATAAAGTGTCAAAAGTCCCCATAGATCCCATCTGTGCTAAAAAAGTTATTCAAGGTCAAAGGTCAAAATTTTTTGTTTTTTGGATTTTTCTCGAAAACCGTATGCTTTATCAAAAATATAGTTCAGAAAAAAATTATAGAGCATAAAATTGTCTACAAAAACGGTCCTTATATGTTTTTTCCTGAGAATCACCATTCTTAAGATATAGCCGTTCTAAAAGTTGAAGGAGTTACATTCTATAATTCTATATGATATGCACACATTTCCACACCACCTATGAGGTAGTGTACTTGGCGCGTTTTTTTTTAACGTGGTTTCCCCAGTAGGCCTACAATCTGTTATGACGGACTTTTATGGGAAAATACTGTATTTACTGCATGATGATTATTGATTTTGATATTGATACAGTTGATTGATTCGAACTATACTTCTAATTTCTGTTCACGTTTTAATCTGATGCATACTCTTCAAACTCGACTTCAACAGTCATGTCTTCTTCAATTTCTTCTTCTTCTTCCTCTTCTTCTTGCTGGATGTTCATAAATTGTTCAACTGAAGATGAATCAGCTGTCTCTTCATCGATATCACATGAATCTTGGTTTTTTGATTCAATTGAACATTCGAGCAAGACTGGCCTTGGCAATTAGTGCACGCTGGTGAACACAACAACCCTACTCTTCTACAGCCACATTTAGTACAACTTTTTTTGCAATTGCAAAAAATTATTGTTTGGGAGTATAGTTTGAATCGGTTCCAAAGTATTATCTGTTAATTTTCAACCCCAGTCTTCGGGGTTCAGTTGTGATAGCCTAGCCATGTCGGAACTTGATAGTATACTCGATACAAGTTTTGATGAGCAGAAGCCGATGTTGGTGGAAGACAAGATAGTTGTACTTGTTTCGTTTTTTTTTTTTTTTTTACAAAAGTTAAGTATATCTATACTTGTTACAATTAATTTTTTTTTGGAGCTCCATAAACAGCAAGGAGAAAGCGAATTCCTTTTGTGATTATGATTATCGTTCGAGGAGACGAATCAATTTCTTCTAATACTTTAGCGCAATCAAGTATCGCAGCCGGTTATTGCATGTAAAAATACAATATGGTTTTGGCATTTTGGATAAGCAGATAAACTTCTTGAAGAATATGTTTCTGTTCGCTGTTGAGCCTTTTCAGGTTTTAAAAAGTAAATAATTTTTTCAAACTATGGTAGAAGAGACTGGCTAAGGGACTGAGTTTCTTTTGAATGTATATTCTCAGAATTGTTAGTAGTTATTTATTATATTGTTCGTAGGTATTTTATACATGTAAGAGACACGAATGGCATTTTTACTTATATTAAGAGTCTGACTATGTAGGTATATACATG